GGGGGAGGTCAAGGCTAAAAATTGGAAATGAGTTGCAAGTAACAACAATCAAAACAGACGGACAAATAACAACGAAAACATACGAACATAAGCAGGTACAAGAAAACATAACCAAGGTAGGAATAACGACCCACCCCTAGTCTAACCTAGGACCCCGAAGATCCAACTGCTAGCCCTTATCCCTACCCCATCCCCCATCTCTCCAGAACCCTTCCTCCTAGTCCTATATATGGTAACTGCAGATTCCCAGCCCTACTTTCGGATTTGAATCCTCAATATTTTAAAATTTTGAATCTCACTATCCACATCTCAAGCATCCATCCACTTGCAACAAAAGGCTAATATCCCAGAGTCGGCAACGGTAAACAATAATCTAAAGTGAAAGTTCGGGAAAAACACAAAGTTTATAAGAAGATGCAGGTTTGATGGGAAAAAGGAACACAAGAGGCAATTGCACCATGTTCAAGTATTACGTTATTCATTTTATGTGTTACTCGAATCACCCTGGCCAATCATAAAAAATAAAGTTGTAGCCCATGAACTAATTGTATACTAGATAATGGGTTGCCATTTTATTATCTGCCTATGGGAAGGTAAGATAACATAATAACCGAACAAGACTTTATCACATTACAGGCTACACAACTCGGGAAAATAACAGCGGCTCAAGCATGAAAGAGACTTACCTCGAGGTTGAACTTCCTGCGGATTGTCGTACGGGTAGGATATGAAAACCAAGGGGCCATGCAGTTCCATCCAAAAAAGGAGTTGCCAATCAAATACAAACCAGTGTAAGGCAAGCAATGATTTGCAAAAGTCCCAGGAGCAGATCCAAGTCTCTCAACATTGCTACCGTAAACCACACAAGGGGCCACACTCCCAAGAAGACCTGCACAATTTCATTAATTATTAGCAAAAGTAACCTCAAAACTCTTTAAGTACACTCTGGGTGAAGAAGTGAAAAAGTCATATTGCTATGCAAATCATGGTAAATGCCTATGACATGGTTAATTAAAACCATATACTTTTTTTGCAACAAATGATGGTTTGCCAGAAGATAGATGGAATGGATGTATTTAAGCATCTCTTTTGTCATGTACACACTTGAGGCAATCTCCTGGATGCAGCTATGGCAAAATAATATCACATAGAGTAATCGTATTCGTACTAGTACTGTTTAGCATTCAACTGGCATTTTGAAGAATGGCCGAGAGTAACGTCATAATTTTAATTACTTTTATGCTTTAGAATCTAGTTTGAAATCTCAGTAATGCATCTGTAACCCTAAATCATTATATGGTTCGTCTTTCTCATTTTGTTCTTCAGTTGAATTCCCTCCACGGGTCCATCTCCTTGCTGTTTCTTTCTCCAATCTTTTTTTCAGAAATCACACTTATAAGCCACATATCTCCAGAAGTACCCTGGCAAAATTTATTCAAGTTTTTTGGTCGGACATACAGGGATATCATCTCCGCCCCATTAGCAGGGGGGAGGGGATTGAACCACACCCCTTACCCCTGCTTCATGGAAAGTGATAAAGAGCTACAAATAGTCATAGATCATAGAGTTCCAAAATTGTCATCCATCAACAACCTGAATAACAGAGTTTTTTATTCTTTGCAAAGCTACAAAAATATCTGGACAGGTAAGCTCTGAGAGCACTGGCATGTAAAAGACATGAAACCTTCTCTTCCCAATGGTTCCTTGGCCTTTTTTATTGTTCCATCTTTTCCACTGGCATAAGGGATTTCTTTATTAATCTTTGGTGGTGCATGAGAAGAATAATAGGAGCTCACACAGTCACAATTCGTTTGTACCAGGTGACTCATGAGTAAGGAATAACATATTTCTTGTTCGCTCTTACATTTTTGGTACGCCTTGCTATGGGGAAGGAGCGTTGTTGTTTGCAAGGTCTTGATTATTTACATGGACCCAATCAATCTTTATACATGTCTCGCATGACATGAAGCTCCAGCAGGGAAGAGAACAAAAGGCAAAAGGATGGTTTCGGGAGTCAGGGATAATTAAAATAATTGTACTTTGCAGTTGTATTTTTTTTCAGTAATCTGCTAGGAATATAATGGATGGAATCATGGTGAAGGTAGTCTTGACCGTTGATATGTTTTTGCCAATTGTAGAACTATCTTCCTTTTTCTCATATTCATGTTGTCTTCTTCTTCTTCTTCCTCTCATTCCCCTTTTTTATAACTTTTCACCATGGATACTCACTAGAGTAGAAAATCACAAAAGTTTCACTTTGCAATTTGGAGCTGAACGACTTGCAACAGCCAGCCATTTAATCTTGCAGTTCAAAACCTGATTCGTGATTTTGTGTACAGGTATATTGCTCACGGGTTATCTCTTGAGTTGCTTATTTAGACAATATTTTTCCAATTCACTCTAAGTATGCAAATATTGCTACCTCGGCTGCATTACTAATTATTTGAACCAACCATAGTCAAAATTATGCACAAGAACGTAGCAAAATCTTCGGTTTTCACTAACCAACAAATAAAAATGAGCATTGTATTGGCAAAATCCATCCAAGAACCAATCAAACTTGCATAGGATTGACCCAAATGAAAAAACCCAATGAACTCCAAGAAATTTACTATGATTTGGCAATGTGAAACCCATAATCCCAGAAGAAATCAAGAAATAGATGCGCACTCTACAAGCTGGAATTATTTATTTAGTTAGAGATAGAATCGGATACTAGTGCCAGAAAGAAAACCCCCAAAAACTTGGTAGGTTTTATGTTCTTTATGCAGACTTAGATTCCTATTAATTCTTTAAAGCTACTACGATCTCCGTAGACATATCATCATCATCATCATCAAACAAGAAATCTAGACCAAAAACCAGATGATCGACTAGCGAAGGCCCTAATTTTCAATAATTAAGAATTCAGATCCCAACAAGAAATCCATTCATCTCAGACAATCAATAAGAAAGGCGTAGAAAAACTCACAAACTTCAAGATCGCTGCTACAGAATTCATCATTACGCCCGAGACACGCGAATAGACCCGAGTCCCATTGAGCCCTGGGCAGCGGCTCCCCCATCACATTAGCACCGCCATTAGTCAATGGCAAGCCGTCGGCAGTCCAACCATATGCAGCCTGATGGTGATGATGAAACCCTGATGCTACCTGAGGTGGAGACTGCTTCACCTCCTTCGCCACATCAGGCATCTGTGAATTGGGGATCGAAGTTTTGGTGGTAGATTTCTTGCTATTTTCATCGCTAAAAGTTACGTTTGATTGTGGATCGCGGTTGTCTTCTCCCTGAAGGGTTTGATTCGCTAAAAGAGGGCTTGATTCCTCGAAATTGGCCATAACTTCTGAGTACAACAAATGGGAATTTGGGGAGAGATCTGATGATAACAAGGTCAAGATCAAGAGGTTTTGAATACGTTTCTGTCGTTTTTGGATTATATGAACATTCAAACAAGCCCTCAAAATAGTAGCTTTCATTAACCATTAAATATCTATTTCATCAACAATAAAACATCTTGTAATACAAAGATTTGGGAACACATGACACCAAGAGTTTTTTATGAGATTCGTAGAATTAATTCTTAATTATTGGATTAGATCTATAATTTGAACATTTATAATCACAATATTGTCATGAGACTTTTCAATAATCATAAAATTGTCACCGTGTAACTTTAGCTCATTAGATCATTAACTTATAAAGTTGATCAATAAACATAAATTAGTCTTACGGGTCTCACAAAAAACCTTTGGTCTTACGTGAACTCAATCCTAAATATGACACCAATTTTAAGACAATGCAAAAGCACACATTTCTCTAATATTTTTTAAAATAAATTTTTTTGTAGGTTCCGAATCAACTTTGATCAACTAAAAATGATTCAATGACTTGTTCATCTTATTATTTTCACTATAACATCTTTTCCCCTTTTTAATATGTGATATTTTGGATTGTAGAAATATTGACGACTGATTGATGAAGTTGGAAGCTCAAAAATCTATCGATGAACTGATTGAGCATGCGTGTTGATAATGTATTATAAAATAACTGAAAAAGAACAACAATTGAATGAAGAGAAGGAATATGTAATTCTCATTAAACATACGTCTTTTTTATAGAGATGAATTACAAGTAGATAACTACGAGATATTTCACTTTTAATCTAACTCAGATATATTTATCTCTATCTCTTGAATTACATTGTAGCTTCTTTTTAAACAGTGGTTTCATAATTTTGGGTGAATGCTATTATACTAAGAATCTCTCGGTAGAAGTTCAAGAAGTGCTTTTGTCAAATTTGAAGATCCAAACGTAGTCGGTCAAACAAGAATGATATCAAAACCAAAGATTTTAGCATTTTTAGCGTTGAGGTTGTGTATGTAAGATTTGGAATAAAAAGTCATTATAATTGCATTAACATTAAGCCTATCGAAGCATGTTTAGTTCAACCAAATGAATCCTTATGGAAACATGTTGTTTTCATCATCTATCACATACTAATTACAAAAGAAAGGACACTGGACACGTAGATTAAAGTTTTTGATTTTGGGGTGAAACGGAGTTTTGCATAATATGAAATTCTCAAAAAATGGAACATATTCTATGTATCCTTCATTTGATGAATATGGTTATTCAAAAGAAAACAATCAGAAAAATTTTCTACAAAATTGCTTTTCAAATTTCGATTTCCTCAAATACCACGAAAACGGTAGTCAAAAACCTCACAACTTACACGCCATTTGCATCCCAAACCCATTAGCTTAATTGCCCCCCATCTGATTATAATAACATCACCTCAAAATCTTAAAAGGCAAATCAAGACTGATCCATACCAAAACCAAGGTATGAAACCAAAAATTTAATGGAAAGGTTCGTCAAGATTGCTAAATTGCCAATGACAATCTAATTCACGTACATAGTGATGAAAAAATGGATAAATTCATAAATCGAAGATAATCTTTTGTATGCAAATGATTATTGAAAAAAAACTCTAATTATTTGAATTATGTTTTGATTTTAATAACTTCTTTTGTGTAAGCAAGAGACTATTAATAAATCTGTTAAAGGATACGTGGTTTGATAATAACATAATTTGACAAATCCAAAACGAGCTCCTACAAGTAAAGGGGGTTCGAATAAAGATTGGTTGTGCTCTAAAAGTTTTGAATCTATTGACCAATCCAACCCCAATATCTTGGGAATTTTCCGCAATGGGCGAAAGCTTGATGGAGCAGTGCTGCGTGAATGAGGAAGCTCCAATAGAAAAATATTGGAAGGAGAAAATACTTTGAAGATATAAATGACATCTGTTATGTCAATGATACCAAAAGGTTATTAAATGAATGGAATATAAAGAAATAGAGCCACTTTAAGGTTCCCTATGAAATGAGGCAGCATTCAGTGTGTATTCCTGAATAATCTTATTTTTCAACTATACGATCTGTTATATAAATAGGTAAATGTTTTTTCTATTATGTTTTGATTATAAGAACTCTTTTATAAATTTCAAATAAAACCAATAACGTGTATCATCCATGTTATCGATGTTTGAAGAGAATGCCAAGTCAAGGGATTAACCTTTGAGAATTTAAACAACGGTCCTATCAAAAATAAGGTTTTGGAGTTTAAAACGGATTAAATGATTTACACTATCAAACACCAGCTTCAGTCAAAAATAGAAATTGATATTTTGACATATCATAAAAAGTTAAAAACCTATTGTTTTCTAACATACATGTCATCGCCACCGCTACTATTACCACCATCTTCATCGCCACTACCGTTGACACCATCGCCGCCTCGACCCCACCACTACTGTTATGTGCAACGAAATGAAGAGATAAATTCTAATTCTTTTGACATATTTCATTTTAATTCTTGTCAACTAAACGAATGATAAAACTTAGATTAAATTTTATTTCAATTCTTCTAACATATTTCAATTCCGAAAGATTTCATTATGCAAACCTAGGAGAATTAAAAATACCTAATAGAAACTTCAACCATTTCTATTTTTGAAATGGGGAAATAGAAGGTTCCACCAATTGCTTTTGATCTATTTGAGGTTATACTTTGACATGATAATACTATCATTTTCGATAGACGTGATGCAAAATTGATGTTATTTTAATATTCGAAAATTATATTTTGACATTTAGTTAATGATAAATATTATGTTAAACTAAAACTATATAGATCAAACGGGTTGTTTAATAGTTGCTGAATAATTTGGTGCAAAATAATTAAGTGGTCAGAATGATTAAGAAGCTTTTATGATATAGTGCAAAATATAATATTATTATTTGATAATTATTTACAATAAAATTAGAACGCTGAATGGTTAAGTGAGGCCAAGATGCAAAATCATTTAGAGGATTTTAGAACCATTAAGAGACATTTTTTTTTTTTTTGCCAAACAAGATTCACCTTTTAACAATTCTGAGACTATCTATCAATTAAACTATTAAAAGGTAAACAAACAACCCCTAAATGATACTATTATCGCAACAAGAGAAATACAAATTAATCTAATCTTTTTTGCAAAACTACAAACGATCGCATCAAAATGGAAAGGAAAAAAAAAGAAGATTTAATAATATAATTATAAAATAGAAAGAAAAGAAAAAGCTGTCAAAATGCTTTGATCAACCAAATTAATGCATTGTCGAAAGCTTTTTGTTTGCAGATTTTCATCCCCTTACATATCACATGCAGTTTTAAGTCGCCATTGCTGGATTTGCTTCATCCATGAAGCTTCTTCACCTAATGATCCATAGCCACCGATGAGAACAAGAGGAGACAACAAAGCCCATTGATATGGTATAAGCAAATATATACATGGAGGGAGAATGGGATGAGAACATGATGAAAATAAGAGAACAAGAAAACAGCCAAATCACATGTGATTTACATCTGGTTATGGAACACGGTCAATGCAAGAGTGAGCGAACATGACAGTCGTGTGAATCACATGTGATTCGTCCGTTTTCGTAATCTTTTATTTGGTTACTATTCTCGTACGAAGTTTTATCCAACAAACGAGAAATATACATGGAGAATCAAATGAAAACAAAGTCAAAATAAGAAAACATCAAAAACGACAAATCACATGTTATTATAAAATAGGGTCAATATAAGGATGAGCGGGCCAAAGTCGCATGAATCACGTATGATTATACACATGATTTTAGTGTAAAATACATTTATTTGACCGTTCTCGCGTTATTTTATTTTTTCACTATTCTCCGATAACAATTTCATGGATGTACAGCTAGTTTCTTATTCTTAAATTCACACCTCATGAGTTAATGCTTCTGGTTGGTTGTTCAAGTGGAACTTAATTACGCCTTGGATGCGATTTTCGAAGAGTAAAAGTTTTACTACAGCGGATGTGATTTAGGATCACAATGCTCAAAGTTAGATGCTAGATTTTATACTATGAGTTAAAGGATCTTACCATTTTTGTGGTGTTTTCAGTTAATGGCCTTTTGGATCGACCATGCTCCTTCTGATTTTGCTGCAAACCACCGTTGGTATTGACGCCGCCGGATCTGTTTGGTGGAGGCATGTAAGAATGAGTCTCAGGTCCCCTGTAATCTATCTCGTATATCTCCGAATTCAATTGTTTCAATCGACCTGTACACATCCGAATCAGCCATTAAAACGATCAAGTTCAAAGTGCACAAGTATAATTGATAAAATAAAATAAAATAAATCTGAAACTTCAAGCATTTTATGTAGTTTATCACAAGAACAATATCGAGAGGAACATGAAAATTTGAGCAATAAGTTATATGAATGTCTGTAGCTAAGCCACTTGTAATTTTTCGTAAGCATTTGCAACTTCCAAATCAATCAAATAAAGGATTGCATCTTACAAAAATTGATCGATTTGGAGGTGAATTTATATATCTTAGACACGAAATTCATTTCAAAACAAAAGTAAAGCAACATCACAACATAGCGAATGTGGAATGCAGAATGCTTAGAGTTCCAGAAATGGTTTGCACAGTATAATTAAACGTATGATCATGAATTCAAAACAAAATCACCTTAAGAGACTTACGCAACTGTGTGTTGTGTGTGTGTGAGAGAGAGAGAGAGATGATGGAAGCTTCAGGAAACCGAACAAACCTGTACAGAGAACGGGCACTGCGAAAAGGAGAAAGAGAATGAAAGCATTTGTGAAGCAATTCTTCAGGTCCATGGCGTGAGTTTATGAGAATGAGAGAGCAAATGAGGAAGGTGTTGAAGGTATAGGAATGGCAGATCACAGAAGAAGCATGGCGGTGGTGGGAAAATGCTTTTTAGCATTTGAAACAGTCACGATCTTCATGGGCTTTTTGCCTACCGCGTGCATTTCATTCAGATACCACATCATCATTGCTTCATTGGTCTGGCATCGTGCTTTCCAGAATCAGAATTTTTATGTCAAAGTGATGAAACCATTTGA